GCTGATTCTAGGGCTGGGTCCAGGAAAATACAAGGTAAGGATGGAATATCTTGGACTAGAAAGTAAGGAAATGCTAAAGAATGATAGAGACATCAAAAAAGTCAGCTTGAATGGACTCCCACTGGCCAAATCTGGGCATCAAAACAAATACAATGGATTGTGACCATCAGTTAAAATAGGATACCATTAGGACATACTTACATTACTTATGATTCCATAAATACTTGAATAAAATGGAAAGTGTAATGAGTAATGGGATTATTTACATAGCTTCAAGGAACTTCCCCTCATAATAGGATTAATCACGAAGGGGAAAGGAGTTATTTTATAGTGGAGAAGCCTGGCAGAGAAGCTTAATCAAGTGAATGAGTTAAGATCAGGAACAGGCCACACTGAAAACATTCCTCCTGAGAGGATGCAGTGCAAACACAGAAGTCTGCCATAGTCCCGCTTCAGTAGCATAACCTGAACCCAGTGGCGAGGAAACATCAGACAAACCCAAAGTGGCAAAGGGACCTTTTACAATATGATTGACCTGTCATCCAAGAGCAGGAAAGTCGGAAGAGACTAAGGAATCATTCCAAATCGAAGAAGCTAAGAAGTGACAAGTCAGCGCAATGCATCTCTCTGAACTGGGGCCCTTTTCTTTAAAGGACACCTGGCGATTCAGTGGGGCTGGGGGTGGTCGGTAGTAGTCAATCACCAAGGTGAATTTTCTGATTTTAATGGTTGTAGTACAGCATCCGATCATGTTAAGTAAAGGGTTCTTTGCACTATAGTTTCTCCCTTTACGTTTTAGATTACTTTCATTTTTTTAAGTATTTAAAAAAACTAGACCATGCCATTCGTATTTTTAAGGTATAAACCAAATGCAAGGTCAGAGTCCATTTTAGAACTATGATCAATACTGTCTCGGTCGAGTTCATGGAAAAACTGTGTACGTACAATTAATTTTGGCGAAAGAAAAGAAGAGAGCAGAGGCCGGCTTTGACTGTCCGCAACTGCAGTTTCTAACGACGCTGCCACGTCACGAGCGCTCTCCCGCCGGCCCGCGCCCGCCCCCAGCGAAACCGCAGACCCCGCGCGGGCACCACGGAGCCCGCCCCACCGGCCCCGGGCCCGGCCCCCGCCCCGCGCCCTCCGGAGCCGGGAGCCCCGGAACCCGCCGCCGCCCGCGCGCCACGCCCAGCCCGCCCGCTGCCGCTCCCGCCGGAGGGGCTCCCCAGCGAGCGCTGTGCGTTACTGTTCCCCAGCCCGAATCGGAATTCTTGAGTCCAGGCTGTGTCGTGCTTGGTGAGATGTAGATTTAAAAATAATAACAACAATAAAGCGTCTAAAGGAAAGAGAAAACTCATATACCAGGAGTGGGGTTCGAACCCACGCGGACATATGTCCATTGGATCTTAAGTCCAACGCCTTAACCACTCGGCCATCCTGGTGCAGACGAACGGTGTTCCTTTCCTCGTCCTACAAGCTGTATTCCACCGTCCTCCGCGCTCCCTCCCGCAAGAATGTCGAGCCGCCTCGCCGCGGCTTCCCGGGCTCTGCCAGCCCGAGCCCGCCCGGGCGGCCTTCCCGCCGAGCCTCGGGTTCCCGGCGCCGCGGCTCACTGTTGCCCCCGGCCCGCCACGGCCGCGCGGGCAACTGCAGTGGGGCTTGGCGCGCTCTGGGCCGCGGCGGGCGGGCGGGCGGGCGGGCGGCTCGCTCCGGGCCCGCCGGTTGAGCTTCCGGTTTCGAGGTGCGCGGGCGCAGGAAACAAACACCCCAGTCAACTTCTGGGTTCCCAGGGCACGTTCCGCGGGCTCCCGGGACAGGTGGCGCGGGGATGGGCCCAGAGCTCGGTGTTTGGTGCGTTTTACTGGGAACAGGATACACTCCGAGAAACGAGTCGCAGGCGCAGCAGAGTTCTCGGGGCCCTAGCGGTGGGTTGTGTTCTTGGCGTGTGTCACAGCCACACTGGAAGAAAGCTTTGTGGAAGTTTGTCCAGACTGTGCCATGGCAGGTGCAGGGCGGGGTGGCCCCACTGGCCTCCCTGCCGGCCCCAGGCCCTACCCCACTGCACCACCCCGCTAGCCACCGCAGCCTGCTGCTTCCCCCATCCTACGGCCTTCCTTGTTTCACTGTCCCAGCTTTGACAAACCCACTCTCAAAAAGAGACAGAGAGAGAGAGAGAGATGCAGCCCAACTCCCTTTTCCTTCCGTGTGGTTGGACCTAGTGGCTCATTTCTAATGTACAGTATAAAACGGAAGTGACAGTAGCAACCTCGGAGTCTAGGTCATCATCTAGGGTGCTCTATCTCTTGTATCACGTCCTCTGGAGGACACCGGCTGTCGAGTCACGGGCAGCCCTTTGAAAAGCCCATGTGGTGAAGAACAGCCAGCAAGGGACCGTCGTGCCCCATGAGAGCAGGTCCTCCAACACAGTCAAGCCTTTGGACCAGTATAGCCCTGGCCAACACTTTGACTACAACCTCATGAAAGACCCTGAACATATATCGACCGCCGCAGCCTGATTTTCTGACCTAGGAAACTATGTGAGATCATAAATATTTATTGTTTTAAGCTGCTAAATTGTGTGTTATTTTTCTGCAGTTATAGATAACTGATAGGCCTACTGAACAAAGTTAGTTTCTCTAGCTCTGAGGATGTATTCACCAGCATATATTTAGTTTCCACACATATATTTTAAATAATAATCTTGCTGACCTCTTTGCTAACTTTCCTTCTTCTGTATGTTTTCAAACTCCTGAATGGATTGCCCATATTTTCCAGATCCACCCACTTTCAGTTTTCCCCACAATCCTCTGACATGGGGCTTCTACACTCATTTTCTCTCTATCTTCACTAAAACACATTCACGTTTAAAACTTGTGTAAAATGCAAACAATATAGGAATGAATAAAGTAAAATGTGCAACCCCATAAATTGAGACCCCTTGTGCTCTGGAGAAGCTAAGCCATCTTCGGTCCCTCTTCTGCTTTTTCCATGCTTCACTCTGCCTCACGCTCCTCCAAAGCCTCCCTTCCCACCACACGTGTCATTATAACGTGAAATGAGTAAGTAGAAGTTACACTTACCTGCAGATATGAATATGAGTGTACAGAATTCAGAGAGTTCCAAATAATACTTTAGAAGTGTCCTTCTCACGCTGCCTGACCTCATTTATTACAATAAAAATTAAGGTGTGTGATATTATTAGGAATATATTATTCTTGGTGACAGAATTTTCTGTTTCAGTACTTACAGAATTTAATTTTTGTATCAAACCTCATGAAATATAGTACGCACAAATCCTGTATAGTAAGTGGAAAATAAATTAGTCTTTTTGTCCATAACTAAGAGTTGCCATGATGATAGCAACAATTTTTCAAAACTATCGATGCGACAAGGAGCAGCAGGACATCCCAATGTAAAGGTACAGGCATAGTTCCTTTAATTGTGCTTCACAGATGTTGCATTTTTTGCAGGTTGGAGGTAAGCCCTCCAACGGCAACAAGAGTAGGGCTCACTTTATCGCAGTGGTCTGGAATGGAAACCACACACTCTCACTATCTCAGAGGTATGCCTGTATTGTTTAGATTGTAGTCAATAGACCTAGTTAAAATTCTAATTTTTTCCTAGCTGTGTAGGCAATACACTCTTCACATCTCAGTTTCCTCATCTGTAATGTGGGAATGATAATACTACCTACTTCAGAGAAGTGTTGTGAAAAATAAATAAGGTATGTAAGATGTCTAGCAGGATGCCTGGCTCCAGGTAAGTTCCTGTGGTAGCCAATATTGGTTGCTTTTCCAACAGCCATTCCCAATTTGATTTCAGGGAGAGTAAACTCGTCCCCTTTACCCATAGGATTAATAGTATTATTTGTTGGCTATTAACTATCCTGGACCCATCTATGTAAAAGATGTATGTGTCTATCATTTTACTTTTATCATCCAATCCCAGAGGTTCCCCACTTTGCTTTCTCCCGCCTCCCTGATCTATCATCAATGAATTTCATGTAACCCACTTTCGTCTTTTCTTTTGATGTGTGAAATAAAATACAAAACTGCCAGTCTCTGGAACATTTTCTCAATCTGTTGAGATTTTACTTCTGGGCAATTGTCGACTGACTCATACTCATAAAAATTCTCTATAGGTTTGAATGTTTCTTACATTGACACACTCCGGATCGGGGCTCAGACTAAAATAGTTCAATACTAAAGGCAGGGTGAACTTAGAAAATGTAAACAAAGCCCTGGCCGGTTTGGCTCAGCGGTTAGAGCGACGGCCTGCGGTCCTGAGAGACCGGGGTTCAGTTCCCACTAAGGGTGCGTACCTCGGTTGCAGTTTGTCCCAGGCCCTGGTTGGTTGTGCGGGTGGCAGCCACTTGATGTGTTCCTTTCACATCGATGTTTCTCTCTCTCTCTCTCTGTTCCTCTCTCTCCCTCCCACTCTACCTGAACAAAAAATGGGAAAATGTCCTCGGGTGAGGATAAAAAAAAAAAAAAAAAAAGAAAATGTAAATAAAGACACCCTCAGATTATATATCATAGATGTTGGGTGACCATATATATAATTTCTCACCAAACCCAGATACCAGTGAAAGTGAAGGAAAGAGCTATTTAAAGTTGTGCTGGGACAAGCCTGCAAGAATCTGGTCCCAGGAAATTTACCTAAGGAAAAGAAATGAGCATGCGAGTTTGTACTTAAATTAATATCAGTTCTGTACTTAGACATTTATTGAATGAACAAGCATATTATAAATTATATAAATTTAAATAGAAATCAAAATAAAATTCTGACGTATGAAACATTTTCTTATTGGGTCAATTAGGAAAATTCAGACAAGAAATTGTAGCTGCCTTCACAGCTCTAGTATCTGGTGTGCATTTTGGATTACAGGAACCACACAATAGCTCGTAAACATTCATTTTTTAACCATCAGAAGCAATCCTTTCATTTCATTTGGTTGTAGACAGAAAGTATAGAACTAAATGAAAGGCATTCTGATGTTTTACCTCTGGATCTGGGAGGATAATGATTCCATTAACCAAAGGATGTCCATAGGAGGAAGAACAGAATCTGTTTGAGGAACCTGTGGGACATTCACAAAGAGAGTCAAGCAGACAGGATATAAAAATCTGGCGCTCAGGTGACAAATCTAAGCTGAAGATACAAATTATTGAGTGACTGACTCGGGCAAATTTCCTCGGGGTCATACCCTGCAGGCCAGAACCACAGGCAGAGGGGCCGCCCAAACACAGTCTGTGTAATCTCTTGTCATCCCCTGGTATGCTTGGGCAGGACCCAGCTGGATACACTATGACCTGACACCCACTACTCACAAAGCAATGTTTTTCAAAGGTGAGAAGAGAACAAGCAGAAGAAAAAGAGTCTAGCTTGGGTCCCAGATACTCAGGGTGAGTGTCCATTCATCCCGACAGCACTTGGGTACTTTGGGTAAAGTTGAAACTGCCATGTTTACTTCTTGTCAGACAAGCTAAAGAGAGCTGCTGGGGTCATCAGGGGTCAGCCTTCTCTCCACAAAGGTTTGGAAATGATCACCATAAGGTAGCGAAGCCAAGGGATTGCTGAGATCAGCTACAAAGAGTGTACAGAAAAGGAAGGGTCAAGGGCAGAGTCCTTGGCCACTTCACATATCAGTGTGTGGGCTAATTTATTTGACCCAATAACCTAAAAAATATGTGAGGTAACTGTGTTTTTATGCTACCAAACACTGGAAAGCAGTAATTGTTCTCTCCCTTTTTCTTAGTTGCCTTACCCACACCTGGTGATTTATTATAGCTGTGGGGTGTGCAAGTGTAGCTATGGAGAAGCCAAACACTGGCAGCCAAGCCCACACCAGGTACGTGGTCTTTGGCAAATGACAGCCTCTTTCTTCTGTCACATAATTCAGAGGAGTTGGTAATATAAATTATGCATGTTTCATTTTGTTGTGTTTTGTTCTTGCAGTATACTTTAAGGAGGTGATTCAGTTGTCCAGTTGCAACATAGTGTACCTATAATTCCAGGAGTTTTTATTTGTGGTATAAACTGTAGTATCTACTATTTTAAGACCCTGTGAAATTTTTGAAAATGTAAGATATAGATATGGATATATACATATATTTTTTCCCTTCTGAAAAAAAAGCAGACCAAGCAAAGAAACAGTAGGCTGAATAGAATTAATAGCATCCTGCTGTCCAGTTTATTTATTTTAAAAAAATAATGCAATAGTAGAAAGAAGAGAGGCATGGAAATTATATTTTATCCAACTGTAAGAACAGGCAAATCTTTGTCATTTTTTAACAAACAAAAAAAAAAAGGAAAAGGAAAATAAATTAATATGCAAGTGAATATAAAAGTTTTGAGTTATCCAAAATCTATAAAGGCCTTTAGGTATTAGAAGACATTTCCAAAATTTCCATCTCACTTAACACACTGAATTTAAGCCCCCCTCCCCCCCAAATTATGCCATAGAATATCATAAAACAGAGTTTTACCAAATTATACTCAGAGAGCGGAGGAAACATATCAACTTCATCAACATTTAGTGTTTTCAGCTTCCTCTTTCTGATTTCTGGTCTACTTCAGTCACGTCCCCTAACTCTATCCTGCCCTTCTGGGTGTCCAGGTGTATCTTGCTCTCTGACCTACCTTGCACCTAGGAACGGGCCATCCTTCTTTCCTCCTTTCTTTTTTTTTTTAATTTTCCGTCTCAAGTTCATTCACACCACTGAATTATTCCTTTCAAAAATATCAATTTGAAGGCTCTCGTCTGTTATTGAGAAGGGAGGGTTTGTCTTCATCATTTTCACGTCCCCTAGTGTGTTCTGTCAGCAGCGCTGAAACGCTCTGTGGGAAGAGCTGCAACCTGGAAATGAGGACTTAGTGCAGTTGCTTCGGATCTTAACAGCGGCCAGTGCAGTGTCAGACACAGGAAGTTACCCCACTGACGAGTTGCAGCATTAAAAGAACCGGCACTTTCTTTCATTTCCCAGTTTTACTTTCTCATGGGTAAGTGTTATGTTTTAATAACTTGCGACTTAGTAACATTTCTTGTTTGACAGGTTTCTTCCATGAACCAGATTAACAAATACAGATGAAGATTATGAAGAGAATCCATGTTACCTCATTTTATGCCCTTTTAAGGGAGCGTCAGACCACAGGGCAGGGCAAAAGAATAAACTAGTTAAACATTCCTAGCTGCAAGAGAAATTCTTGTCTTCATCACATGGAGGCTAAATAATTTTTTTATCTAGGGGTAACATTCCTTGTAAATTCTCTCTACCCCCTGCAGATTCTCTTCTTGATTTTGTACACAACCTGTTTTGAAAGAGGCGGAGCACCAGCTCAGCTGCTGGCGCTGGGGGGCACCTGGGGCCATGCCACAGTCGCTCTGCCAGGTCAGCTCCAGCAGGGAGAGAGCCCTGCAGCCCAGCTGAGCTCATAGCTCAATGGAAGGGCTCTTTAGGGTCCTCCAATCTCTTCTTGGTCTTCAATTCCTGCAGGGGAAGGGATGGTCTTGTAGTTATTCTCTGCACGATACACATGCAACTGAACATTTTTGTATTGAATAAGCTTTATGATCCTTAAGGAGTCTGTATGTATGGGGTGGGAAAGGTGGGGACGGTGGGGGGAGGCATACCCCTACTACTTAGGAGATTAGACTGAGACATCTCAGGGCATCCTCATATACAGAGACCTGAGTGATTCAGAACAGTTTAGGACTGATGCCCAAAGCCACTGCCTTGAATCACAGCCTTTCATAACAGATTTATGGTGGCTTAGAACAAATCCCCAAGTATGGATAACCTAGGATCTGCAGGAGGTATCAGGCAAAAGGGTCACATAACTGGAGACCACGTTGATGAAAAATATAAAGATCTTGGCATAGATACATAGGAACACATGCATTACATGTACATTCCTATTACACAGCTTCAAGTGCTTTTCTCTTTGGGATAGCTAGACTGTGCAAATAGCTGGGCCTATTTGGAATTAGAAATAAGGGTATATACATATTTTGCATACTCTGTTATTTTTACCCACTATAAAATATCATGGAATACTGGGATATAGTGGGAGAAATATGTCTGAAGAGTTGGCTATAGGACCATGAAAATGTAGACATATATAGTACAAAAAATGGAAGAGACCTGAGAAGCTAAGGATGCTTGCACTTAAAATGGCGTATAAAGAATATTTTTAAAACAATGCCAGGAATTTAAAAATGGTAGTGATGGGACTTGTCCCTCAATCCTCATTTGTCAGGATATCACTGGTTTTAAAGCATCCTATGTAGTATCACCCAGATCACCAATTCAGAAAACCTTATTTCTTGCCAGCAAATATATAATCTTTACAACAGCAGCTTCCAGTCTATAAGAATATCTTATCTATTGTTTAGAACACATGTTGGTAATAAAGATGCCCAATAGTTATACGATGGTAAAGTTACATTCTAGATTCTATTCAGTTTCCATTTCTAATAGCCCCCATTTAATTAATTGCAATGATTTTCAATTCTGCCGTCAAAAGCAAGTCAACTGTTACTCTGATTACAACTGGATGTTTCAAACTATCTATCATCTTGATTACAAATGAATGAATTGCAGGCTACAGACGGAGATACTTGGCATATTTCAAAAAGAGGAGTAGAAATTATGTCTGGTGGTAGAAAATAGAATGATACGTTTTATACATAAAATCCAAGACTGCAGTTACCCTATTTTATTATTTTTAAACTATAAATAATTTTCAGTAGTTTCCTGTCAAGACAGGAACTTTAGGAGGTCAAGTCCCATCAGGCCTCGCGTGCCACCTCCCCCTCTCTGCCTCGGCGCTGCCTACGGAGTTGGCAGCAATCTTCTGCTTGGTACCATGGCTGCCCTCAGACCCCTCGTGAAACCCAAGATTGTCAAAAAGAGGACCAAGAAGTTCATCCGGCACCAGTCAGACCGATAGGTCAAAATTAAGCGGAACTGGTGGAAACCCAGAGGCATTGACAATAGGGTGCGCAGAAGATTCAAGGGCCAGATCTTGATGCCCAGCATTGGTTATGGGAGCAACCAGAAAACAAAACACATGCTGCCCAGTGGCTTCCGAAAGTGTCTGGTCCTCAGCATCAAGGAGCCTGAAATGCTGCTGATGTGCAACAGTGTTACCGTGCTGAGACTGCTCACAACGTCTCCTCAAAGAGCCACAAAGCCACTGTGGAAGGAGCAGCCCCGCTGCCATCAGTCACCAATCCCAATGCCAGGCTGCGCAGCGAAGAAAATGAATGGACAGATGTGTACACATTGTATTTGTGTTAACAAAACCATAACATTCTGCCAAAAAAAAGAGACAGGAACTTTATATTGTAGAGCCTGAAAAATATGTGTATATGATACTATAAAGCATTTTTAACTATAAAGCATTGGTACTGTTTTTAAATAAATATAAAGCATTAGTACAAGAACACTAGTCTCTTTTCAAGTCATTATCTTGAAAGGACATAAACTTCCTCCCGTGATGTCACAGTTCAAATGTTTTAAAATTATTGATCAGCTTTTTAAAAATTAATTCAGATTATGGTGGATACAGATGCCACCTAGGTGAGCACCTTTCCTATTTCTGATATTTCTGGAGTTGCCACCGCCTATAATCTGTGGTTGTGGCTGAACAGTGTAACTTTGGGCTAGTTGGAAGTAGTCACCACCTATGTCAAAATAGCTTTAAAAAATGTCCACCCTCAGGCCCTGAAGGCACTACTGTTCTTTGTGGTTGGTGGGTTCTTTATGAATTTTGCAGATTTACCACAAAGTCTTCTTTTTGCCCAAAATCACTCTTCAGAGTTTGCCAGGGTATCACAGGATGAGGTAAACCAACACGACAGCATCTCTTGGTGGCGCTGGAGCACCCTGTCCAAGGGAAAGGCCAGCTTTTGACGCACTGCTTGGCTGCGGAGCCAAGAAGGGCTTTGGGGAAACAGGGCAGGACATGGGAAAAGCCAGGCGATCCCTCCCCTCGGTCCACTGAGCTTGGCCTCCACAGCTGAGCTCCTTCTGGGGCTTTGTGTCACGGCTTGGGAAGAATCGAGGGAAAGCACTTGCCAAATTGAGCAGAACAGCTGCTTCCTGCTTAACTGTTTTGAATGGAACATTTAATTTCTTTTTCAGAACATGTTTGGATATAAGAAGGAACAGAAATGCCAACATGAAAAATAGTTTTTTCATTGTAGGAAAAAAGCCCCCAGTCAAAAAAGAGAGTCTTGGTGTCTTTATTCCATTTTATGAAAGACTGTGAACAGAAGAAGTGTTTATTTTTCCTCAGAAGTTAATAACGGTTCATTTAGTCAAGTCAAGAACAGCTCTCTCCATCTACAAGAAACTTATTTAATAACAATAATGAACATAGTACTTAGCACAAGCCAGGTGCTGTCTGTGTGCTTTTACCAGTTTAGTCACTTACTTCCTAGAACAACTCTATGAGGTAGGTCCTATTATATCCATTTTACAGATGAGGAGACTGAGGCACAGAGAGGCTAAGGAGCATGCCGAGTAATACGGCTGGCCTGAGGAGAGACAGGGTTTACACCCAGAATGGGCACCCAAATCCGTGCTCTTAGCCACTGCCACACCCAAGTGGTTACTGAAAAGCAGAAAGAAAAATGCTTACCTTTTCCTAGGCAGGAGTTATCTAATCACTTAGCATATTAAAGTGCAGTTTTTACCTAATTCTCCAATGTGAAATATGGGAATTCAAAAATACATAGAGGCTGTGTAAACTCATTTACTTTTATGAATGGTTCTAAGCAAAGAAAATGCTTTATGGGTTTAAACAAGTCAGATGCATGAATTATTGTCTCTTGTGGAAACTAGCTGGTTGTCTGTATTTACAGTCTCTCTCCTCTTCCATGAAAGACATAGCAGTGGAGGTGTATGGAGACTTTCTTGTTTGTCAGGGAAAGGGAATTAGGCCAAATTAGGTCAAAGGTGAAACATCCCTGGCGTTAACTGAGAAAGAAATGGGAAGAAATTTGAGAAGAGCCCAGTGGGACTTGGTTTCCACAATTCTCATATTTAACCATGAAATCAAAATTAGGTGCAGGGCTAGATTTTCATGGTCGTAAGCAGTTTAGTCAGTGAGTTACAGGGTTCACATACTCTTCTTTCTACTCCTTTTAAAAGTTCACTGTCCGAAGGACCTGAGAATTATGACCGCTGAATAAATTCTCTCCTTTATTAAATAATGAGTAGAAAGAGTTCAGAGTTGACTCAGGAGAAAGGCAGGAAACATGGTAAATGTGGGTAAGGGCATTCCAAAGTTTGCAAATGAAACGAAATCTCTAAAACATGATGATTTTGCTAAACTATTGTAAGTAACTCAGGAGAGAAAGGAAGACATATCCCTACGTGAATTTTTTTTCCCTCTCTATTCAGAGTTCCATCCAGATGTTGCAACTTTAAGCAGCTACAAGAATTTCTAACTCAATAATTGAAAAAGTAAACTAAGACACAGATACATGAAATGGATATTTATAATATAATGTTTATTAAACTAACTTAAAAAAAATTATTTTAATTTAAATAACTCCATTTAAATGCACAAAAAGATGATCCACAGTAAAACAAAAGTAATATTTCCAAGAATGTTAATTTATTATCTCTAGTTCCGTATGCATTTTCAGCTGTTGACATCTGTCTTTATTACCATAACTGACACAGAATTGTTCAAAATAAAGTTTTGATCCAAATTGGACTGAATATGCAGATGGGAATGAGACAAACTCAAAACAAGAAAACCAATACCAATAACCAGTAAAAGTGTTTTTCTTGATATTTATAGTCTATATTTACAAAAGCAAAGTGAAAACCAATTAGTCATTATATACATGTTAGTATTAACATTTACATATGTATATGTGCATTTGTAACAAGGAAAAAAGATACATTTTAAATTATTTTTATATGAAAAATATATAACATGTGATTGAAACACACATCAATTTAAGTGCTTGTTCAATACTCAGTGCTTAAAAATATTTGGAAAAAAATTCCAAACTGTATCCTGATGGAAGATATTAAAAGTGAAGAGATAAGAAAATTGTGAGTGTTAATGATTTTTAATAAACGTGAAGATGAGCAGAAAGAAGATACACATCTAGGCAGGAATCACATAGCATGAACTACATAAGAGTGGGAAGTGAAAAGAGGTGAAATTGAACAGAACCAAGGCACTTTGAGGGTAGGGTAAATGAACTTGTGATGAGTTCATACTATTAGCCAGTGCGGAATTGACTTCCTCCTAGAGTGTCATTCGAAAATAGGCCTGGGACATTTACCCTACAATACAATACAACGTCAGTTCTTTGGCTTCGGATAAGAGGGCAAGGGTGCAATTTGCCATATAATGATCTCGCAACCTCAGTGGATATGTACTTACTGAACGGCATCAACTGTGGTCCCAAGCATGGGCTGGGTTGGAATTCCTGGACCTAGTTTCTCCTTTCCCTAAATACTGAGGTCCATAGGGCTCGGGACAACTTGCCCCAGTGAAGGGGGCCCGCAATCCTTCCCAGCCCATCCCGTTGGGAAGGGCGGGCGTGGTGTCCCGGGCCAGCCCGTCAGTTGAGGCAGGGGCAGCAGAAGCAGCAGATGGTCCGGCAGGGGTTCCTCTTCTTGTACTGCACTGCCTTGCGCACCTGCGCCTTGGCCTGGCCGGTGTAGTCGACGGTCTTCTCCACGTTGAGCTCGATGACATTCAGGGTGTCGGCCTGCTCCTCCACCAGCACGGCCATCTGCAGGAAGAGGTCGTGCACGTCGCGGATGCGGCTTTCCAGCTTCAGCAGCTCGCGGTGGCGACTCTCGATCTCGTTGAGGGCCGCCCGGGCACCCTTGACGTCGGCCAGCAGGTTCTCGGAGAACACATCCCACTTGCCCTGCTCAAACATGTCCTCGATCTGGTCGCCCGAGACGTCCTTGCCCATGATCTCCAGCTGGCGCTGGATGCGGATCTTGCAGTTCTCGCGCTGCTTCATCTCGGCGCGGTTGTAGTCGTGCATGGCGCCCTGGAAGGTGCGGGTGAGCGCGCTGTACTGCGCACGCGCGATGCGCGCCAGGGCCGAGCTGGGGCCGTGCTGGGCCTCGGCCTCCTCGCTCAGCGCCTTCATGGCGCGCAGCCTGCGGTGGATGCTCTCGCCGCGGGCCTTGATGTCCTTGGCAATGGTGTTGGTGTCGCGCTTGATGCTGCTGAGCCGCCGCATGGATGTGAGGAAGCGGGCATTCTGCTTCCCCAGGCGTCTCACGTCGGCCATCAGATGCTGGTTTTCATCCTGAAGGACCTTGATGTCGCGGTACAAGGACTCCAGGATGTGGTCCGTCTCAAACACGATGTCCTCGTGGGGTGACTCAAATTCATCATCCCCGTCTGGGACCTGCTGGTCATACTGCTTGGTTAACTCCAGAAGTTCTGGTAGCCGGTCCTTCATTTTGCCTGCAAGTAGATGCCCAAATTAAATTCCTCTAGTGAGAGTCACATATGTGCACTGAGGGAACTGAAGCTTAAAATAAAGAAAAGTTCTTCCCGGGCCGGTCAGGCATTGTCCTCTGCACCAAAAGGTTGGCGGTTTGATTCTGGTTAGAGCATATGATGTTTCTCTCTCTCCCTCTTTTTCTCTCTTCCTCTCTCTCTCTAAAAATCAATGTAAAAATCTTGAAAGAAAGAAAGAAAGAGAGAGAGAGAGAAAGAAAGAAAAGAAAGAGAGAGAGAGAAAGAAAGAAAGAAAGAAAGAAAGAAAGAAAGAAAGAAAGAAAGAAGAGAGAAAAAGAGAGAGAAGGAGGGAGGGAGACAAAGGGAGGGAGGGAGGAAAACAACTCAGCAATCTCAATTTTTATTCCTGGGTGTATAAATACACAGAAAGGAGCTAAAAGTTCTATGAGATTTTGCTTACAAGTGAAGAACTAGTGTGTCAGTCATGAACACAGCTGTATTTTAGAGCCTGTAGGCCTCTGCAATTCAATATTCTAGGTGCCCAGGATTCAATCAACAGTTTAAAATTGTAGACTGCATTGGGAATGTTGCAATCTTTTTCTTGCTTTTAAGTTCTCCAATAACTGCAAATCAAAACAGACACAGAAAAAGGAAAAATAGGGGGAAAAAATACTTGAACAGATCACAATTTTTAATAAGGAGAGTCAATTTACAAGGCCAAGCCTAAGTGTCTGTTTTGTGTCCATTTCAGCACTGGAGAGAATCTCAGCCCTGGACAGCATAACAATTCTTCAAATAGTATACATCGTGGTTTAAAACTTTTTCTTTTAGAAAATGTTATGAAAGTAAAACATGCTTGAAGTAAAACAACAACAAAATATACAAAGACAAAAATCTAATAAGGAAGCATAAAATTTGGAAGTTGAAATGTCCTTGTTCCTCTGCCCAATGTCATTAATACATACTTCAGTTTGAGTGCTTGTTCAATACTCAGTACTTATGAATGTTTGAGGAAAAAAAACCAAGATATATTCTAGTGGAAGATATTAAAAGTAAAGGAGAGCCCTGGCCAGTTTGTCTCAGCGGTTGGAGCGTCAGCCTGCGGACCAGAGAGTCCTGGGTTCGGTTCCCGCTAAGGGCACTTACAAAAAAAAAAAAAAAAAAGTAAAGGAGAACCCAGCTTATGTGGCTCAGTGACTGAGCACCAAGAGGTTGCTGGTTCGATTCCCAGTCAGGGCACATGCCCAAATTGTGGGCCTGATCCCCAGTGTGGGGCATGCAGGAGGTGGCCAATCGATGTTCTCTCATTGATGTTTCTATCTCTTTTTCCCTCTCTCTTCCTCTCTCTAAAATCAATAAAGAAAAAAAGTAAAGGAGATGAGGAAATAGTTAAGTGTATAAGGAGATTTTAATAAGTAGGAGAGGTGAGCAGAAATAAGATAAATATTCAGGCAGGAATCACATAGCACAAGCCAGATAAAGAATTAGTAATGAAAGACATACAGTTTTCCCCAAGGTCTCTAGTGGTAAGCATCATTAACAAAGCTACTATTTTTTTTTTTAATTAACATGGAAAATTTCAATCGTATACAAGCGTAGTACAATAATAAACACACTCTCATTTACCCACCATATAGCAGCAATATCTGCCCACTTTTAATGCCTTTTTGAAACAAGTTGGCAGCTCAAGTAGGTTTTCCATGATTTTATAAGGGTGGTTGTGATCATTTCCCTGCCTAATAAGGCAAAATAATGTTCTCTACGTTAATATTTTTTTCATAAGAGTAGCTAATATGTATCAGGTGCTTATGTAGTGCTAGTAACCAATTTCTAGGCACTTTTCACAGGATACTTTCTTTGATCTTCATAAGACTCCATGAAGTAGGAATTGTCATGATCAGAGTTGCTAAGTTGAGCACAGGAAGATTAAACAACTTAAACCAAGGTCACCAGTAAGTAACATCTGGACCCTACTTAAACACCACACTCAACTATCTTCGGCAAATGTACAAAAGTGAGTCATGAAAGACTGCACTATTAAGCAAGGAAATATCCAATCTGTAGCCTCTTGGGAGGGGCTCCAGTGCAGGCTGAGGCTGGTGCTCCTTGTGCTGGGCTTGGAGCCGCTTGGTGGGAGCTATGAAGCAAGCCGAGGCCCGCCACCACATGTGCCAGGCTTGCGGCTGCGTGGGAAACAACACGATTCGAGCTGAGGCTGGCCACCACTTGCACTGGCTTGGAGCTGCTTAGGAGCAGCTCCAGTGTGAGCGGAGTCTGCTCATAGCTTATGCCAGCTTGAGAGTGCTTGGGAAGCCTGCACTGTGAGCCAAGGCTGGCCTCTGCCTATTTGGAGGGTCAGGAGCATGCTGGGGAGTAACCCCAGCCAGGGCAAGCAGGTTGGGCAGGGGAGGATCTCTGAGGAATGCCATGCCATGCCAGGGCAAACAGCATTAGCCAGGTTAAGGGAGAGTGACAGATTTGGTGCCAGCCAGGGGGAAGGACAGCACAATGGAACAATGGCATCTGCCAACACGTATGTCCCCAAAGAGAGTTACCACTGGTCTCTGCCCCTCCAGCCCTCACCCTAAAGTTAGTCAATTAAATTCCTCCCTGTGTGACCCAGGTGCTTCTCCAGCTGCTGCCTCTGCCCTGGACCTCGGAGTGAGCACGTTTGTGGGTGAGTCCTTCAAGAACAGTGTCTTGGTCTTCCATAGCCCTTCCTTTCTCTTGGAGGTAATCCTCACTGGTTTTCAAAGCCAAAAATTATGGGGACTCCTCTTCCTGGCTCAGGTGCCCTGGGCTGGGGAGCCTGGTGTGGGGCTCATATGCATCACAACCAGGTTACCATCTTGACCTGGGGAAAGTACAATAGTTAGCTGGTATGGACTTGAGCTGTATCCATATGTTTAAGTTAGTATCCAATTTATTCTATTATACAAAAGGTAGATGGGAAAGAGAATGGGTAAATTTTGATGAACAGGGCAAGAGTAGGTGACACATACCTTCCTTGCGCTTTGGCCATGCCTTACGAGGCACTGTAATGGAAGGAAATAGGCGGTTAAGGGCCAGTGCCACACACCGGAACATTGGGCATCTGCTCTTGATCTCCCACTAGTCCTGGAGAGTTCCCAAGCTCTCCCAAAGCCATGAATCATCTCATTCATAATACGAAGAGCAAAGCACACTTCTATCATACAGAAAACAGCCTTGGCTGATGTTTAGAGGTGGTCATTCTTTCTCAAGACCTAACAACAAAGCCATAGGTACTAAATTAGGCGAAAGCCAAAGCTCATTGGAAGGCTCACTTCATAAGGAACAGACAGTAAGGAGAGCGAAAGGAACAGTGTATGGAGTTACAGATTCTCTCTAGAGTTGTAGACAAGAAGGTGGCCTTTACCTTACCTTCCTGACCACCTTTCTGGCCCAGTCCAGCCCCACATGAGTTGGTCCCCTTGACTTAAAAAGTCTCCTTGTTACCAAGGAGCAAGCATTAGGAAAACTACAACATAAAATCAACCAAAGAGGCTGCTGTTCCTAAGAACTCCCCCAAAAGGTTCAGAAATATTCCTTGCTGCAGTTATATAAAAATATAGAAGCACAGAAAGAACATTAAACTAACCTATACACCCAGTAGCTTCATTCTGAACTGTGAGATTCTAAAAAGGGACCAATGGTAAATTAGAAAGAAAAATCAAACAATTCTATTGATCTTCCTGTCTCACTGTGATAAAGAATAATGTAAAAAACTTCACTAAGTTGTATTCATAAAGTTGCTAAAATAAATCCTGCTTTGATTCACCCAGAGATGAAGAATTCAAAAGAAAATTTAGAACCAACCATCAGAAATCTGCTTCTGCTTTCTAATTCTCTTTTCAGGCATGCATATTATCTGTCCTAAGAACTAGATCCCTCAGGGAAGGAAGAGGAAATTGCACAGCCCTTCTTTCATTAGGCAATACAATTTTATGTAAAAAACAAACAAACAAACAAACAAAAAACAGACAAATGATGGTAGCTCAGTGGCTCTCAGACTTTAGGAAGCAACAGCATCTTCTAGACACAGCTGCAAACATTACAGATGCCTAGGCCCTTTAGAGTTTCTGATTCAGTAGGTCTAGGATGATCTTCTGGTGAGTCAAATGCATGTCGAAATGTGTGACCCATTCCACATGGACGTATTGTGCCAGCTTGTTATTCACAAACACCATGCAGTTCCAGGCAGCGTATAACAGTCCCCAGGTTAGGGCCAACTTGACGAGCAAACAATTGATAGGGAAAGACTCACAAAGATAGGGAAAGAGAGGTTCAGAAAGCAGGTTTGTACCTACTTCAGAAGACCAATGAGTAGGGGTGATAACTACATAAATAACCCAAACCCTGGGTGCTACAAAGATCAACCATGAAAGTCATCATTCCCTACTTGCTTCCAAGGGGACCAGTTATAAACACAATACATAGTCCTTTTCTGATTATAAAAGAGAGGCTCTGTGCCTACTTACTCCAAGGAGAATAAGGAAAAAATGTTAATACATAGTTATGAGCTGAACTGTACCCCCTCCAAATTCATATGTTGAATCCCAAACCCCAGTAACTCAGAATGTAATCATATTTGGCGATAAGGTTTTGAGGAGAGAAGTTAAAAGGAGTTCTTTACGTAATCTGTACATTATTATACATTAAGCAATACATGTATCGAGCAAAATTTCCCTACTACCAGGAAACAAAAGTCTTCCCCTGTTTCACAACAATATGTTAAAGTATTTTTACAAGTCATGAGAAACTTCAGACATGGAGACACACACTGTAGGGCAGGGTGCTGGGCCAGTCACGTGAGGCTTATCGTGGAGATGAATTTGTAGATTATAGCAGGGGGACAAACCCAAAGGCATGGAGAGGCCTTCTTCTTGTAGTTATGACAAAGAAACACATCAGAGACCACTGCTCTGTAATGTGAGTTCAGAAAGCTTAAGACTTTTGTTTCATTTGGGAACTAAAGTACACATTTACACACACACACACACACACACATACACACACTCACACCATGCAGTTATTAGTGAAACTACAAAGATCTTTCCCCAACATATATAGTCCCAATGAGGACTTTTGAGCAATGTCTCCCTTACTTCAATAATGAATTTACCTTGTCTTGATTTTCAGATTTTATCATCCCTCTTTCCTAGGTCCTTATTTCATTCCAATTTTTTTAAGTCTTGTAAAAAGAAAATGATGATTTATAAATCAGAATGACATTATGCCTAGGTTCATAACAGGTCCACATGGCGCCTCAATGAGCCTTTGTGTAGGCAGCACATGACATTTTGAGAAAGCTAGAGGGGCGCCTCTTTCTCGGGGTGCATGCCTCCTATACCAGGGCACAGAGCCGGTCAACTGGCATAGACGGTTCTCCAGACCCTCTCATCCATGTGGCTAGGCACCCTCGTGCTGGGCACAACCTGCACAGCCCCGTGTGGTCACCCTGAATGCACCTTTCTCCACCACCTCACCTAGTCCCTCTGGCCCAACCATCACCACAGACATCTGAGAGGGCCCAGGAAATCTCACAGGTCCTGTGTCACAATTTAATGGTTACTTTTTAGGACACGCCATAGTAATACAATCCTTAAAGGACAACAAGTGTACTTTCCCAGATTGATTCAAATCCTTAAACAATAATTTCATTCAACTGAGTAAAACCTAGTGTTCTGCTCCATTTCTTGATTTAAAAAAATAACACATCTAAGAGGAAAAATCATTCTTTGAATCTCTAAAAATTATAAGCTAATAAAATAAGGTCTTATCTTCTTGCTGCTCTAACGTTAATTTAAAAACAGAATCAGCCCCAGCCGGGTGTCTCAGTTGGTTGGAGCATCACCCCATACACTAAAAGGTCACAAGTTCGATTTCCTGTCAGGGCACATACCTAGGTTTCACGTTCGGGGGTGGGTACATGTGGGAGGCAACCAATTAATGTTTCTCTCTCTCTCACCCTCTCCCTTCCTCTCTCTCCAAAATCAATAAAAACATATTCTCAGGTGAGGATAAAAACTAAAAAAGAAAAACGTGTGTTGGCTCTAAAGTACATTGGTAAGAACAC